TGAACAACAAGAGCCAAACTCTGTCAAAAGAAAGAGAGAGGGGAGGGGATGGAAGGGGAGGGTGTGGTGGCTCACGCCTATAAGCACTTTGGAAGGCTGAGGCAGGCGGATCACAAGGTCAGGAGTGCAAGACCAGCCTGACCAACACGGTGAAACCCCGTCTCTACTAAAAATACAAAAAAAAATTAGCTGGGTGTGGTGGTGGACGCCTGTAATCCCAGCTACTCAGGAGGCTGAGGCAGGAGAATCGCTTGAACCCAGGAGACAGAGGTTGCAGTGAGCTGAGATGGCACCACTGCACTCCAGCCTGGGCGACAGAGCAAGACTCTGTCTCAAAAATAAATAAATAAAGGCAGCAACATGATCAGATTTTAGTTTTTAAGTAGCTCACTCTAGCAGCAGTACTGAGAATTGCAAAAATACTGAGGTGAGAGATGGCTAGGGTGTTGGTAACATGTGGGTGTGAGAAATTTCTAGACATTTAATTTATACGTAGGGCTAATAATCACCAATATCCAGATAAGAAAACAGAAGCTACTCAGAAAGGTTAAGAGAGAGATCCAAGTTGGCTGATCACTAGCAGCTCGGGACTGTAGCTCCCACTGAAAGTGCAGAGAACGAGAGGATGCCACACTTTCAGATCAATTTTTGTTGCTCACGCACCAGGAGATTCCCAGCGGAGGAGCCCCACGGGTCGCCAGCGCGACTCTTGTGGCCGGCGAGGCGGTTTTGCCGCTGCCTTGGTGCGGCGGTTCTTGGTACAGAGTCAGAAAAGCACCATCAATCTTAACGCCGCTGTTTTGGCCGGCGCAGTAGGTTGCTCAGATTTTAGCGCTGGGAATCAACAAGTTGGACGTCCATTCAGAAAAGACCACAGATGGATAAATCTATAACGAAGGGAAGAAACCAGCCTAAAAATGCTGAGAATACCCAAAATCAGAACGCCTCTCCCTCTACAGGGGATCACAGTTCCTCACCAGCAACGGAACAAGGCCTGATGGAGAAAGACTGTGTTCCATTAGCAGAAGCAGGCTTTAAAAGGTGGATGATAAGAAACTTCTGGGAATTAAAAGAACTTGTCCTAACCCAATGCAAAGAAACTAAGAACTTTGAAAAAAGGTTTGACGAAATGTCAACAATAATACACAATTTAGAGAGGAATATAAGTGAATTAATGGAGCTGAAAAACACAACACGAGAACTTGGCGAAGTATGCACGAGCTTTAACAGCCGAATTGATCAAGTAGAAGAAAAGATATCAGAGGTTGAAGACCAACTTAATGAAATAAAACGAGGAGACAAGATTAGAAAAAAAAGGATAAAAAGGAATGAGCAAAGTCTCCAAGAAATATGGGACTATGTGAAAAGACCTAATCTACGCTTGATAGGTGTACCTGAATGTGACGAAGAGAATCAATCCAAGCTGGAAAATACGCTTCAGGATATTATTCAGGAAAACTTTCCCAACCTAGCAAGGCAGGACAATATTCAACTCCAGGTAATACAGAGAACACCACAAAGATATTCCTCAAGAAGACCAACCTCAAGGCACATATCGCCAGATTCACCAGGGTTGAAATGGAGAAAATACTGAGGGCAGCCAGAGAGAAAGGTCGGGTTACCCATAAAGGGAAGCCCATCAGACTCACAGCAGATCTCTCAGCAGAAACCCTACAAGCTAGAAGAGAGTGGGGGCCAATATTCAACATCCTTAAAGAAAAGAACTTTCAACCCAGAATTTTACATCGAGCCAAACTAAGCTTCATAAGCGAAGGAAAAATATTTTGTGAACAAGCAAGCACTCAGAGATTTCATCACCACCAGGCCTGCTTTACAAGAGCTTCTGAAAGAACCACTACACATAGAAAGGAACAACCATTATCAGCCTTTCTAAAAAATACCAAAAAATAAAGAACATCAACATAATTAAGAACTCGTATCAACTAATGGGCAAAACAGCCAGCTAACATTAAATGGCAATATCAAACTCACATATATTATTATTAATTCTAAATTTAAATCGACTAAATCCCCCAATCCAAAGTCACAGACAGGCAAAAAAAAGCCAAGACCCATTGGTATGCTACATCCAGACCCCTATCACATGCAAGGATACACAAGACTCAAAACAAAGGGATGGAGAAAAATTTACCAATCAAATGGAGAGCAAAAATAAATAAATAAATAGAAAGCAGGAGTTGCAATTTTTGCTGATAAAATAGACTTCAAAGCAGCAAAGATCAAATGAAGCAAAGAAGGATATTACATAATGATAAAAGGAACAATGTAACAGGAAGAGCTAAAGATCCTAAATATATACGCACCCAATACAGGAATACCCAGATATATAAGACTTATAAAGAGACTTAGACTCCCACACAATAATAGTGGGAGACTTCAACATCAATATTGACAGATTGATGAGACAGAAAAAACATCGATATCCAGGACTTGAACTCAGATCCGGAACAAGTAGACTTAACATTTATAGAACTCTCCACTTTAAATACACAAAGTATACACTCTTATCAGTACCACATCACACCTATTTACAGGTTTAAATGAAATATTGGTTGGCTGCTTGTTAGTTATTTTCTTCCCTCATTTTTTTTTTCATGTCTCTATTATTAAGCACAATTACAGGCATATGCATTTTTAGACTGCATTCTAGCCCGGGCAATAAAGCAACACCCCTGTTCTCTCTCCCTCTTCCTCTTCCTCTTCATTCTTTTTTTTTTTCTTTTACTCTCTTTCTTCTTCTAAAAAAAAAAAAAAAAAAAAAAAGAAGAAGAAGCATTCTATCTCAAGGGAAAAACATGACCCAGGGCACTGGCCCCCAGACAGGTGTTTGTTGAATATCTGATGGAGTTTGGTAGCGTTTGTTTTTCCACTGATTACTCAGTATGTTATATGTGCCCCCTGAATGCCAGGCACTGTGGCAGATTGGTGCTGGGAATAAAATAGATGACCCTTATGGAGATAAAAAAAAAAAAAAAAAAAAAAAAGAATTGACTGGTGCTTTACCTGGTCTCCCCCTGTGGGCATTAAGGTAAGGCAGGGGCTTCCTGTTTCTGGTGAATTGAGCTTTTGTGGCTGATGCTAAGGCAATGCTGGAGTCTTTGCCACCAGCTCCTCTCCTGCAGACTCAGCTGCTTGGGAGTATCTGTTGATTTGGTTTTTTGCCACACTGATCTGGAGCACAGTGCTGAAATTATTTTTCCCTTTACCATCTCTTGCTTTAAAAATGTTATGCTTGTTCTCATGCTCATACTCCTATTTTTAATAAAGGGCATGGTAGCAAAAACAAAAACAAAAAAAGAAAGGTTAATTAATTAACATGCCCAACTTCATACGCTTAGGATATGGCGGAGTCCATTTCCTAATCATGAATCAACTGAGGGTACTGGGGATATCATTGCCACAGCTCACAATGTTTCTCACAGTTGTCCTGGATTCAGGGCCAAGGCCCAAAAAGCTCTCCATGGGGATCTTAGTAGTTTATCACCCAACCTGGGTCCCTTTGACTTGCCTTATGATAGTGTTGTTGAAGACTAGAGACGTAGGAGCTGGGGAAAGCAGCAGAGTTTTACACAATTGTCAACGGAGCGGCCTCCTCGAAGAGAACAGATCTAGAATTTTCCTGGGCAACAATAACCTGGGGTCAACAGGGTCTGAATACTATAGTCCCTACTGGCCGTGAATTAATAAGAAGAAAATTGGTTGGGTGAGATGGCTTACACCTGTAATTCCAGCACTTTGGGAGGCTGAGGTGGGAGGACTGCTTGAACTCAGGAGTTCAAGACCAGCCTGGGCAATATAGCAAGACCCTGTCTCTGTTTTTAAAAATAAATAATGAAAAATTTTTGTTTCAAAAGAAGAAAATCATGTACTGAATGCTTATTGTGTATTCAGTGTACAGGCATTATTTAAGTACATGTAAGCTGCAGAGGCCATAAAAAAGGGAGTCCTAATGTCCTTATTTCCCAGCTAGGGAACCGGAGGCTCCAGGGAGGGAAAGGAACTTGTCCAAAGTCATACAATGAGTTACTGACAGAGACAGATATGGAAGGAACCTGAGGAGCCGTATTCACATCCAAAGCACTTTATACAGTACCAAGATGAAATCATTTGACAGTTATGAGGTCAGATATGACAGTTAAATTCTGGAAGAAGTTATCAGTGGACAGGGTACCCCTCTTTCTATGAAAGGAGGCCGGAAGACGGAACCCCTTAATCCATTCTGACCCTGTTCCCTCGGGAAATGCTCCCTTAGTATTCTTTTTTATTCAAAAGCTTGACAAGCCCAGGACTAAAGTGTCTTGGCTGTCTCAGCTGCACTGTAAAGTGCCTGGGAGAGGACCTACGTGCTCAATTTATAAATGAGAAGGGCCGGGCCGGCGTTTTCAGACAAAAAGGTCACAGGAGTGAGTTGTCGGGCACTATCTGTCCCTGCGAGTCCTCTCGGAGCCTCAGCTCCCAGGTCTCACCTCAAGCGTTGGAAATTCGGTTGGTTCCACGCAGCAGACGCGTCTCCCGGTTGCTGGGGAACCAAGCACCGCGACTTGGTTGCTAAGGGGAAAGTCAGTAGGGAGACTTCCAGGGTGAAAGTTGACAGATCACGTGACCACATCTCCGGGTGGGAAAACACTCCTTACACCAACCAGCTGTAGAGAAAACAAACGTTTCTCCAATCAGTACTTTCTATGGGCGGGGATATTCCTAGATTCACCTCTCTTCCGTCCTCCTTTCTGGATGATTGACTCATCTTTTGTCCAATAATAATAAGGATCCTTTAGATTGACCAAAATACAGATGAATCAAAATGCACAGCTTCCTCTTCGGGGGCGGGCCAGGGGAGGTGCCGCCACGGCTGACAGGGACAGCGCTGACCTAGCTAGGTTGTCGGCCCAATCGGTCGCTGCGGGGTGGGTGGGGCTTTGCTGACGAAGGTGTAGCGGCCAATCGGACGCGGGCTTTGTAGGTGTCCCCCAATAAAGACTCGGTAAGAGGGCGGGGCTAGGGGACCTGGCCCTCGGCGTTCCAGAGGGTGGGGAGGGGGCAAGTGTCAGTCAGGACTGGATCCCGGCGGGATACAGAGGAGATCTCGGTGGCAGACAGGGGGCCCGGGCTGCTGCGTATTGTCCACCCAAGATGGAGTTCCTCCTGGGGAACCCGTTCAGCACCCCAGTGGGGCAGTGCCTCGGTAAGGCTGCGTGTGGGGCGGGAGGCTGGGCGACGGCGGCAGCTGATCCGGCTGGTGAGGACTGTGGGCCTCCGCCGGGCGCCGGTACCACCTCAGGAGCGGGCTGGGCCTCCGCCATGCGCGGGTGCCACCCCACGAGCGGGCTGGGCATCCTGGTCACAGGGCCTTCGCCGGGTGCCAGTGCCACCTCACGGGAGGGCTGGGCATCCTGGTCGTTGGGCCTTCGCTGGGCGCCGGTGCCACCCCACGGGAGGGCTGGGCATCCTGGTCGTCGGGCCTTCTCTGGGCGCCGGTGCCACCTCACGCGAGGGCTGGGCCTCCGCTGGGTGCCAGTGCCATCCTACGGAGGGCATCTGTGTCCTCGGTCCTCTTCCCGGACAATGGTGCCACCTCACGGTCGCCAGTGCCACTCTGCCAGGAGGCGCCCCTGAGGCCCAACTTGGACTCAGAGATGCTCCAGGCTTCCCTGCCCATCAGGACTCAGCCCTTCCTTTTGCTCCTAGAGGTGGTGCCAACTGCTGGTCTGCTTCCCCCTTGCCCTTTGGGAGATGCCACTGCATGTGCCCTTATCCAGCCCAGCAGGCTCGCCGCCACTGCCCCTAGGACCCAGTTCTCTCAAACCCTTTGTGGGATGTCACCTCCTTCTCCGTCCTTGTCCCTCCTCTTCAGTACCAGCAACCCTCAGACTGGGCACCTTCCCAGAAATGCCCCCTGCTCCAGGACTTGCTAATTTGAGCTGCAACTCAGCTGGGCTGTAGGAGGGACTGGGATGGGAGGAGGGGCTCTTGGGGGTTGATTATCTTGGCAGGGGGATGGCATGCCTGCAGTGCCTCCCAGGAAAGAAGGGAGGCTGTGTAATTTAATGATAAGAGCCCTGGACTGGGAATCATGGAAGCCTGGACTCTAGCAGTGGTTTTGCCAATGACTCCATGTGACATTGTGCCCTTTCTAATTTGAAGTTCTCCTGTCTGTCAAGTGAAGTGTTTGAAGATGAGATGTGGTAGGTCCCTTAAAGTTCTCAAGTTCTGATATTCTTTGTAGTACTCTCTGCACATTGACTGTTGTTCCCCCTCACCATATTAAATTTACCAACGCCGAATCTTTTGTTGGCAAAGTAGAGAGAATGGTACCCAGCCTTATCTGTTAATCCTATAGGGGGGGATCTGGACACCTGGGGACACCAGAGATGGCCAGAATCCTGGATAAGGAAAGCCCAAAGTGTAGGTAAAGTAATACCGGAAATGGCCATGGTGTGGGACTTCCTTACTAAAAAAGCAACTTGCCTTTTCACCCAAGGCAGTGGCTTATGTCAAGAATGCTGATTAGTTTGTTTGAAAACTGGGTTCCTCCTGGTTGGTTGAAGGACTGGTAAAACGTCTTTTATGAGCCAGGATCTTTGGTGTTCTTATGGGCCTGATTTCGGCAGTAGTGATTGTTTATTTTCTGCTTTGCTTATGAATTTCTAGCTTACTGTCAAGCCTTTAGTGGGGCCTGTAAACTTACTGAGATCTCTCCTGTTGGCAAATTAGCATTTAGGAGCCTTGTTTTACTTGCTGGTGTAGTATCTTTTATAATGCCAAAAGAATGTTTCCCATGGTTTGGACATCTTGTCCCTTGCAACCCAGCGGAGCGTCTGGATTCTCACCTCCTTTCTTCTTCTTCATGTCCTCTCCCCACTTTCCTCAGATGCTCCTGCATGGCAGCCACATTCCAAAAACTCATTGTTCAGCTGGATGTTGAATTCCAGCCAATTAATGGAGGGACCAGAAAACCTGGGGGAATGGTTTTCTTTTTTGTCCCCTTTGTACTAGGAACCTCTACACCTGCAAAATAACAAGGTAGTAGTCGAGGGTTAGAAGTTAATTTAAAATACAAATACAAGGGATGTAGGGATATGTAGCAAGTGGTAAGAGCATGATACTTCTGCCACAAAGACCTGAGCTGAATTTTGACTTGGCCCATTGCCCGGCTGTGTGACCCCAGAAAATTGTATTGCCTATCTGAAGTTTAGTCTATCAGTAGAGAGAGAGGAGAGAGAGAGAGAGAGAGAGAGAGAGAGAGGGAGATTGATTCATATTCACAGAGTAATGCAACTTAAATGAGATAATGTATGAAAACACTTAGCATAGTATCTGGAACATTGTAAAAGCTCAGTAAATCGAAACTGCCACTGTTAATAACAGAATACTTTAAGTTCGGGTTGGATTTTCTATCTGGAGAGGGTATGTGAAACAACTGGCCCGTCTGTGACCTGTGAAGGAAGATACCCTACCGGGCCCCAGGGTTCACAAAAGATGCTTGACTCTAAAGACGATGATGGCTCCCCATTGCCAGGTAGCCAGTAGGTCATTTCGGTTTAGTTCAGGTAAATGATTAATGGATAGAATGAGGCTCTAATGTATATTTTGTACTGTTGTGACAAAGTGTCAAAGTGACTTTCTCGTGACATTTAGTGTGTTAGTACTATTTTAAAAGAATGTGCGGGGGGGCGGTGCGGGTAGTGCGCTGGTGGGAGGGAGGGAAGGGGAATACAGAAATAAAGTAACAACAACAAAGCTAATGATTAAAAACTGCAGCTGTAAGCGGGTTGTGGTGGCTCACGCCTGTAATCCCAGCACTTTGGGAGGCCTAGGTGGGGGGATCACCTGAGGCTAGGAGTTTGAGACCAGCCTGGCCAACGTGGCAAAACCCCGGCTCTACTAAAAATACAAAAATTAGCTGGGCATGGTGGTACATGCCTATAATCCCAGCTACTCAGTGGCTGAGGTAGAAGAGTCACTTGAACCAGGAGGTGGAGGTTGCAGCAATTGTGCCATTTTCACTCCAGCCTGGGCAACAGAGTGAGACTCTATCTCCAAAAAAGAAAAAAGAAAGAGAGAGAGTAAGCCTAGCCAAGCTGTGAGAGGCTAAGAAGTGCAGAGGAAGAAAGAGTACTTACTTGTATTTCTTAATTTTCTGTTCTGCAACAAGCTTCAAAATGTTAACTGCCATAATCTTAGCCTTCTACAACTGCTTGGAGTTGGATCTCATACATGGGGAGTTCCCCAAGTCAGGTCCACTGTGGTCTGCAGAAGTTTGCAGTTTTCCTTGTGTTGGCTAAAAAAAGTTTTCAGAAAATCCTTTTCTAAGAGTAAAGTTTAGATTCAAAGATCGGTGTCTAGTTAGTGAATTCTGATCAAAATATTGGGGGTGGTGGGCATGTATTCTCGCCATTGTTCTGCTTTAATAAACAGGGAAGAAACAGATATTCTGTTGCAGAGTTTGTTTGTAGACTGAGTGGTGGTACACATAAACTACTTCAGACTATCCTGTGAATGGTAGATGTTTAACCTGGCCATTTATGCCAAGAATAATTAGTTGTGCCTCAGATTGCCATGTGCATTAGGGTCTTTTTTTTTTGAGACAGAGTCTTGCTCTGTCACCAGGCTGGAGGGCAGTGGCACGATCTTGGCTCACTGCAACCTCCACCTCCCAGGTTCAAGCGATTCTCCTGCCTCAGCCTCCCGAGTAGCTGAGATTACTGGCATGTGCCACCACGCCCAGCTAAGTTTTGTATTTTTAGTAGAAACAGGTTTCACCATGTTGGCCAGGATGGTCTTGATCTTTTGATCTCATCATCTGCCCGCGTTGGCCTCCCAAAGTGCTGGGATAACAGGCCTGAGCCACCGTGCCCGGTCTGTATTAGGGTTCTCTAGGAGGACAGAGACAGAATTAATAAGATAGATATATGTATTAAGGGGAGTTTATTAAGGAGTATTGGCTCACGCAATCACAAGATGAGGTGCCACAATAGGCCATCTGCAAGCTGAGAAGCCAGGAAGCCAGGACAAGTCCCAAAGCTGAAGAACTTGGAGTCTGATATTCAAGGGCAAGTATTTGCAAAGCCCTTTTGCTTCACTGATTTTATTTACTGTTCACAATCTTGTGAGATACACAGGAAGAGAACTGGAAAGAACTTATAATTATTAAGTGCCAACTATATGCAAACTCTGTACATGGAATCTCATTTAATTCTCACAACATTTAGCTATTTGGGTGTTATCATCCCTGTGTCACATAAGGAAACTGAGGCTCTGAGAAGTTAAGAGACTGGTACAAGGTCAATGCCACAGGTAAGCCTAGAATTTACTCCTGGACCAGTGCTCATTCTGTGCTGCCATGTATGTTACTTTTTGCTCTCAGATCTCATGATTCAGCCTCAAGGGAATCACCAGGAGGGCTTGTTAAAAGTGGAGCCTACCCTCAGAGTTTCTGTTTCAGTAAATTTGGGCTAGGAACTAGCATTCTACATTTCTGTCAAGTTCTCTAGTGATGCTGAAGCTGCTGGTTCACTTTGAGAACTGTTGTTCTTGATTTAAAGTTCTGTTTCTTTAATCTTTTCTTTATCTTTCTTCAACATTAAATGTGAGTTTTCTTGTGGACAGACTAAAAGACTGATTATTTAGAATTTGTTCATTTGTTCGTTCAGTGACCCTGTACTATCTGTGTATACCAAACTAAGAATTTCCTAGTGTATAGATATCTAAAATAAATAAGGTAGAAAGTAGTCATAAGATTGGATAAATAAATGCAGTAAGGGAATGGAGGAGAGGGGTGGCCTCAGGTAGTAATAATAACAGCTAAAGGTTTTAGGGTTTTTGTTTGTTTGTTTGTTTTGTGTTTTCTTGAGACAGAGTCTCGTTCTGTCACCAGGCTGGAGTGCAGTGGCGCGATCTCAGCTCACTGCAACCTCTGCCTCCTGGGTTCAAGCGATTTCCCGGCCTCAGCTTCCCAGTTTTGGGTTTTTCTTTTTTTATGTTTAATGTTATGTTCCTGTGTGCCAGACACTGAAGTGGGCACACTTGCAGTCATTCGATCCTCACAACAATGCTGTGGGGAAGATGCTATTGTTATCTCAGATGTTTTCAGAGGGGGACACTAAGACGGTGAGCAGATATGGAACCCGCCTAAGGTCACACAGTAGCAGTGAGGGAGCTAGAGTCTGAACGCAGCATTCTGGC